GGGATTTAACTAGAACATATTGTGATTTAACTAGGAAAGATGGTGATTTAAGTGCGAACAATGGTGATTTAACTGGGAAGGTTGGTGATTGATATGGGATTTATATTGGATATATTGGGACGTAATATTATTAAGGGGCTACGCCCCCTGCCGCCGACCCCTGGGAGAGAGTGAGTTTGGAACCCTTCCTGCAGTGAACATCTTCCACAGTGATGGCGGCCGAAGCTCAGTCAAAGTCGCTGGTCTGTTTCCATGTGTTCCATGTGCGCGGAACGCAAGCCACGAACAGAGTTTACAGCTTGGCAACAAGGTCGTGAATATACTCAAGACGGCACACAAGTATGCAACGCATGCACAGCCTTTGCCTTCGTTTGCCGTCTTGCTCATCGCACGAATCAACGCCTGGCCCGCTTGCGCCAACGCGAAACCCGCCACCGGCACGCAGCAATCCTAGAGGACATTCGCAAGGAAATTCAGGAAATACACGAAGCAAGACAAACTTCCACGCGAGCAGAAGGTCCCAAAACGGACACTGCCCACTCATCGAACCAGCAGCTTGCTGTCGGGCCTGACACAGCACCGCCACGACTGCACATATACATCTGCCCGTACTGTGCTAAGTCTGTGCAAAGCCCTGTGGCAACAGGGCGCGTCGATCACCGCCGCGGTAATGGCTGCGGCAAACAATTTCGCGTTGCCAATGGCCTGCTCGCAGATCGCACATATTCGCATGCATGTCCAACATGCGGCACGGTGGTGCACTCAACACTGGCTTCCGGCCGAATTCGGGTAACGCATCGCAATCCCAGCGGCCGGCAGTGTCGCACCAACCAGTGGCGCGTGCATACCTGATGACGTTTCCAGCTTAAGGTTGCCGCACCGCACGGCAATGCCCCACAGTGCTTTCTGAACCTACAAGAAAAGTAGCCGTCTTCCAGCTTTCCAAGCTCAGAAACGGCGCCTCCGCCACGCCCAAACAGCAGGGCCCTGAAGGACGGACCGAGCCTCCGGGCAACGGCTCCCACTGCCTAACGTTGCTTTCCGAACCTACAAGAAAACTAGCTCTCTTCCAGCCGTCAAGGCTCACAAACGGCGCCCTCGCCACAGCAAAACAGCAGGGCCCTGAAGGACGGACCGAGCCTCGGGGCAACGGCTCCCAAACTAGCTCTCTTCCAGCCGTCAAGGCTCACAAACGGCGCCTCCGCCACGCCCAAACAGCAGGGCCCTGAAGGACGGACCGAGCCTCCGGGCAACGGCTCCCACTGCCTAACGTTGCTTTCTAGCTCTCTTCCAGCCGTCAAGCCTCACAAACGGCGCCTCCGCCACGCCCAAACAGCAGGGCCCTCTGCCACAGCACAACAGCAGGGCCCTAAGAGGACCGAGCCGCCGCCGGCACTTCTCCAAACTATCTCTCTTCCCCAGCCTCAAGGCTTCACAACGGCGCCTTCCCGCCACCCCAACGCATGCCCTGAAGGAACCGGACCGAGCCTCCGGGCAACGGCTCCCACTGCCTAACCTTGCTTTCTGAACCTACAAGAAAACTAGCTCTCTTCCAGCCGTCAAGGCTCACAAACGGCGCCCTCGCCACAGCAAAACAGCAGGGCCCTGAAGGACGGACCGAGCCTCCGGGCAACGGCTCCCAAACTATCTCTCTTCCAGCCGTCAAGGCTCACAAACGGCGCCTCCGCCACGCCCAAACAGCAGGGCCCTGAAGGACGGACCGAGCCTCCGGGCAACGGCTCCCAGCGCCTAATGTTGCTTTCTGAACCGACAAGAAAACTAGCTCTCTTCCAGCCGTCAACGCTCACAAACAGCGCCCTGGCCACAGCAAAACAGCAGCGCCCTGAAGGACGGACCGAGCCTCCGGGAAACGGCTCCCAAACTAGCTCTCTTCCAGCCGTCAAGGCTCACAAACGGCGCCTCCTTCCGTCCACGGCCCAAACAGCAGGGGCCCTAAGGACGGACCTAGGCGCCTCCTGCACGGCTTCCCATGCCTAAGCGTTGCATTTCTGAACCTCAAGAAACTAGCTCTCTTCCAGCCGGCAGGCTCACAAAACGGCGCCCTCGCCAAGCAAAACAGCGCCCTGAAGGACGGACCGAGCCTCCGGGCAAACTGCTCCCCAAACTAGCTCTCTTCCAGCCTTCAAGGGCTCACAAACGGCGCCTCCGCCACGCCCAAACAGCAGGTCCCTGAAGGACGGACCGAGCCTCCGGGCAACGGCTCCCACTGCCTAACGTTGCTTTCTGAACCTACAAGAAAACTAGCTCTCTTCCAGCCGTCAAGGCTCACAAACGGCGCCTCCGCCACAGCAAAACAGCAGGGCCCTGAAGGACGGACCGAGCCTCCGGGCAACAGCCCCCAGTGCCTAACGTTGCTTTCTCAACCTACAAGAAAACTAGCTCTCTGAGCTGTCTTCCAGCCGCCTGCCTAACGTTGCTTTCTGAATCGACAAGAAAACTAGCTCTCTGACCTGTCTTCCAGCCGCCTGCCTAACGTTGCTTTCTGAATCGACAAGAAAACTAGCTCTCTGACCTGTCTTCCAGCCGCTTGTTGCTTCCTGGCTTCTTGTTTCTTGCTTCTCTGACCTGTCTTCCAGCCGCTTGTTGCTTCCTGGCTTCTTGTTTCTTGCTTCTTGCCGCTTGTTGCCTGTAATTGCTTCTTGCCTCCGGGCAACGGCTCCCAAACTAGCTCTCTTCCAGCCGTCAAGGCTCACAAACGGCGCCTCCGCCACGCCCAAACAGCAGGGTCCTGAAGGACGGACCGAGCCTCCGGGCAACGGCTCCCACTGCCTAACGTTGCTTTCTGAACCTACAAGAAAACTAGCTCTCTTCCAGCCGTCAAGGCTCACAAACGGCGCCCTCGCCACAGCAAAACAGCAGGGCCCTGAAGGACGGCCCGAGCCTCCGGGCAACGGCTCCCAAACTAGCTCTCTTCCAGCCGTCAAGGCTCACAAACGGCGCCTCCGCCACAGCAAAACAGCAGGGCCCTGAAGGACGGACCGAGCCTCCGGGCAACGGCTCCCACTGCCTAACGTTGCTTTCTGAACCTACAAGAAAACTAGCTCTCTTCCAGCCGTCAAGGCTCACAAACGGCGCCCTCGCCACAGCAAAACAGCAGGGCCCTGAAGGACGGACCGAGCCTCCGGGCAACGGCTCCCAAACTAGCTCTCTTCCAGCCGTCAAGGCTCACAAACGGCGCCTCCGCCACGCCCAAACAGCAGGGCCCTGAAGGACGGACCGAGCCTCCGGGCAACGGCTCCCAGTGCCTAACGTTGCTTTCTGAACCGACAAGAAAACTAGCTCTCTTCCAGCCGTCAAGGCTCACAAACGGCGCCCTCGCCACAGCAAAACAGCAGCGCCCTGAAGGACGGACCGAGCCTCCGGGCAACGGCTCCAAACTAGCTCTCTTCCAGCCGTCAAGGCTCACAAACGGCGCCTCCGCCACGCCCAAACAGCAGGGCCCTGAAGGACGGACCGAGCCTCCGGGCAACCGCTCCCACTGCCTAACGTTGCTTTCTGAACCGACAAGAAAACTAGCTCTCTTCCAGCCGTCAAGGCTCACAAACGGCGCCCTCGCCACAGCAAAACAGCAGGGCCCTGAAGGACGGACCGAGCCTCCGGGCAACGGCTCCCAAACTAGCTCTCTTCCAGCCGTCAAGGCTCAGAAACGGCGCCTCCGCCACGCCCAAACAGCAGGGCCCTGAAGGACGGACCGAGCCTCCGGGCAACGGCTCCCATTGCCTAACGTTGCTTTCTGAACCTACAAGAAAACTAGCTCTCTTCCAGCCGTCAAGGCTCACAAACGGCGCCCTCGCCACAGCAAAACAGCAGGGCCCTGAAGGACGGACCGAGCCTCCGGGCAACAGCCCCCAGTGCCTAACGTTGCTTTCTCAACCTACAAGAAAACTAGCTCTCTGAGCTGTCTTCTAGCCGCCTGCCTAACGTTGCTTTCTGAATCGACAAGAAAACTAGCTCTCTGACCTGTCTTCCAGCCGCCTGCCTACCGTTGCTTTCTGAATCGACAAGAAAACTAGCTCTCTGACCTGTCTTCCAGCCGCTTGTTGCTTCCTGGCTTCTTGTTTCTTGCTTCTCTGACCTGTCTTCCAGCCGCTTGTTGCTTCCTGGCTTCTTGTTTCTTGCTTCTTGCCGCTTGTTGCCTGTAATTGCTTCTTGCTTCTTGCTTCTTCTTTCTTGTTTTCTTGCTTCTTGCCCTTGCTGTTTGTAATGACTTCTCTGACCTGTCTTCCAGCCGCTTGTTGCTTCCTGGCTTCTTGTTTCTTGCTTCTTGCCGCTTGTTGCCTGTAATTGCTTCTTGCTTCTTGCTTCTTCTTTCATGTTTTCTTGCTTCTTGCCCTTGCTGCTTGTAATGACTTCTTGGCCCTTGCTGCTGGTAATTCCTCCTCTGACGCGCTCCCCCTGCTGTCGGCAGGGGTCGGCGGATTTGTGGCTCCCAACCCTTTGAAAGCCTTTGTGCTTTTGAGGTCCTATAATCCTATAGAAAAAAGACAATTACAATATTCTGAATACAGATCATGTGAAGGAGAAAGTCACAAGATTGAAAGCCTATTGAAAATTCAAAGCTTCCCATGCTTCCCCGCCTGGCCCTCTAGAAATGGTATAAGCAATCCAGATATCGCATCACATTTCCCACTTGAAGCAGTCTCCAATGACAGTAATGAGGTGTAGACACCTCCAGGCTCCCGCTTTTTCACCAGCTTTGACTCCCAGAAGTTACCTCAAATCTCTCATACTATTGATGGGTAGCATCAAAAGGTTTCCACTACTTGCAGAGGAAGTCGAGGGAAGACCGCCGAGCAAATACTCTGCTCTGATTTACACAAATAGGAGAAACACACAAACACATTACATACTAGATGCCTCTTCCCTCTTTTCAATCAGAGAGCAATCCCTGTACGAAACAGAAAAAACTTGATCCTCAACCTACTGTGGGCATGGCTAGAGTAGTACAAGTAGCAACTCTGGCAACCGTGGTACAACGAAGGATGAACTGGAACATTGGAAGCAAGCAGCAGGGAACTGAGCAAGATTTTGCTGCCAGACAATTCATCAGAATTAAAATCCACATTCTCCTGTTTCAGATTCACGTTTGGAGCCAGGCCAGCGAGGGCCAGCCAGAAGCCCCACCCAATGGCAGCAGTCATCAGAAGGTGCACCTGGGAGTGGCAGAGTGGTACTAGTAGCCGCAACACCTAGATGCAACACCCTGTGATCATCCGCTGTTGCAACAATTTTCAGCGTTTTTAAACAGGATCTTCTGCTTGAACTTTTTGATCGGAGGCAGCAGAAGAGCTGCTCCGCCAAAAGGCAGTGGCACTGGAGGCATGAGATCCGAGAGGCACAAACAACAATGCTGAAGGCTTGTGTAGCTTGCTTTGGTCACAAGGAACAGCTGGCTGCAAAAGAAAAGCAGCTCAAAGAGTTCGAGAAGCAAGCACAGCATGAGGAGAGTTCTAGTCAAAGCATGCTATGGTTCTCTCACCAGAAAAATGACTGCTGTTTTGGCGACTGAATCTTCCAGACTGACTTTCTTGCCTGCGCCGGAGGAAGTTCCGGGCAACATTCGTTCGGTACCTTCTGCACTGCACGGTTCGCTCTTTCTCGGACCAACACTGCCGCTTCCTCATACTCGTACTGGTCGTATGGTCGTGATTGAACTTGGCTGCCTTGACTTCATTTTTTTCGGGACAGCCCACTTTGTATTCCAATTATGCTTTGTAGTGACAGTGACAGGTCTAAGTTGGAAGCTGTGCAGCGACGAGCCCTGGTGATAGGCCACTTCGTTGTCGCTATCTCAACATGATTCCAGCCAAGTCTAGCAGAACTTTCATTTACACTTTTTGTTTTTCGTATCGTTTTCAAAAAGAGACTCGCAAGTACACCAAGCTTTGAGTCGAGGGTGCGCAAGCTTCTGCAATTTTGTCACGTTACTCTTGAGTGCCACGTGTTGTGTTGCAGGTTGCAACTACTGCAGCTCCTTTGCTCCTTTACAGGGGTGTGCCAACGATGCATGGAACATCCAGTGCTTGCTGCGGCAGCAATGTGCTCAGGAGTTTCTGGCACAGTGCGCTGGAGAGAGTGGAACAAAAGATGTATGCTACTACCAGATGGATGTGTTGCCCTTCCCCCAATGGCCCCAATGCCTCCTTTTCTGGTGAGTTTTGCATGTTTTCAATTTACATTTTCTATGATTTTCTCCATAGTCTCCTGCCTCAGGTCCCTGCAGTATCCAGAGAGCCAGGACTGAACGCAGTTTTTGTCCTTTGACAAAATGACAAATTGACAAACACCAGGTCCGATGTTTGATCGACTTCTCGGATTCGACTGCATCACCTCCAAAAAGGCGTCCCACGAGGCACCCGAACAGACACACAAACACAATGTTCAACTAATTCAACTTATTCAACTTATATTCACAACATTTCACAACTATGGGCATATATTATCATATATTAACCATTCATTTGTTAAATTTTGGTTATCCTCTTGACAGTACTATCGTCATTCATTCCAGTGGCTGCGCTGTTGTCCTCCACGGGAGTACTTCTGCTGACAGAGAAGCAGCATTTGTCTCACAGCACGATTGTTGAAGGGAGAACATCATCGCAGAATTGCAATGGCTAACTCAAAGTGCAAAGCCCGGGGTTCTGGCCTCAGGGTGCTGTGGGACCCACTTCATGCAGGGGTTTCTCCGGTGCATTGTGACGTTCTTGTCACAGCATGGATTTATCGTTTTTCTATGTTTTTCTCCAGTTCTTGTCCAAGGACAACGTTCTCTTTTACTTCAGTGGCTACGGAGCTCAACAACCAGAGTCTCAGACTGATGGGCTCTACGAGGCTTTGTGTGCTGTCATGACCAGTTTTGAACATGAGTAGCTCCGCATGAATCGAATGAAGTGTATGTGCTCCACATATCTTCACATTGTGTGCTGATGGCTTGGCTTGAGATGGAGTGTCCAGAAACGCTGTGTGGGAGAGAATGTTTTGTGCGTGCTGCAGGGGCACCTTGTGCCAATGGACTTTGCAGACAACTTTCCAGAGGAAGAATGTTCTGCAGATTCAGGCACATTTTATTTTGTCCGTCCTTTCAAGATGCCGATGGCGAAGGACATTGTACATGAACTGAGACACTGCAATACCTCAGCGGCCCGAAACCGAGCCATGTGTTGTCACGACTTTTGTGAATTGCAGATGTCAGATACAGTAGCAAGTTGACGGTGCAAACCTGAAGCTATGAAGCCGTAAGGACTCGCGCTTGTCGCCCGACTCAGCTCAAAGGGCTGTTCAAGCCGGTGGCTACCGCCCTTGACTAAGTTTGCAGTCCTGTACCGATTACAGACAGAGCTTCTCAAAAAGATGTAGTCTGTAAGCCGGACTTGTCAGGTCTGGTTCCGATGTCTTTAATCACTTCTGCTCTTCATTCCCTTCCTCCTACATGCAAGGCGCGGTGGTCGTGACTTGTATCCTTGGTCAATGAAGTCAGGAAATTGCAGGAAGCGGCACAGTGAAACAACTTGGACCAACTTGGATAGATTTGACATGATGTGACAGGTTACAATACTACTTGACTGTTGTCAGAGCTCTGTTGTTCCACTGCTACGGCATTCTGAAGCTCGCTCGCTTGGTCCTGGTCCAGGGTACATGCCTCGGATTCAGCTGGGATGACTTACCGGTGCATCATGAAACACAATCTGTCCATTTGGCATTGGACAAATGGATGAAAACACCAATTCAAGACAGAAACATGCAACACAGCGGCTTGAATCCACTTGATATTTTGAGGCCACCTCTCTTCAAGAGGCTCGCTCCACATGTTCAGGCACGAAGAGAGAGGAAGATGACTACGACATACTACGACTAGAGTGTCATGCAATTTCTTTTAATCAAGCCAGGAGATCCCAGCAGATGCTGTCTCGTCTGCGAAGATACGGCTGTTGGGGACTTGATGCTGAATTTCTGAACTCTCAAGACTCTTGGCGCATCCTGATTTGGGCTTTTGGTCGAGTCAAGTGTTGAGTTCAACTTAGAAATGTAGTGAAGAGATCGCAGAGATCGCAGATTTGCCGCCCAGGTTGAACCTACCACCTTTGCCTGGTGGACATGGCTTGACCAGGCAGCCGCTGTGGCAAGATATGGCAAGATATGGCAAGATATGGCAAGATATGGCAAGCAATTCCAAAATATGGCAAGATAGCAGGGGGCAAGGAATGTGTGAAAGATGTTGGTTTGACATGGTTTGACATTATCTGACGATGTCCTTCCTTCTCGTTTACGATGTTTCCGGTCTGGAGGCAAATTGTGTCTCCATCAAGTTCCCCCAGCAGATCTTCAACGCATGCCTCACCACACCACATGAGCTCTCCAGCTTCTGAGGCCATCCTCCAGAAATCTATGGACATGACTGCAATCCCATTGCTCAAAGTCACACTATCACTATCTCCCGTGTTTGTGCATATCTTCATGGTCTAAAGCTGTGACGCAGTGTGACTGGTTGTGACGAGTTGTGACGGGTTGGGGATCTTGTTATCTCAAATCTGTGAATCATTTCCTGGAGGCACAGCCTTCACCTTTGGAGGCGTGGCAGGGCGTGGCAGGGCATGGCAGGACATGGGTGGCTTCACAGTGTGGTGCTTTCTCCATGTTTTCGAAGCCGAGGCAACTCAGCGCCATGGGAATGTGGCCCGTGGTGGTCCATCGTGCAAATGCTACAGCTTTGCAACCTGTCAGAATGACCAGGTGCAACCTTGCCAGTACAGCCTTGTCAGTGCAACTTTGTCGGATCTTGTCAGATCTTGTCAGATCTTGTCAGATCTTGTCACACGTACACTGGGCTGGTCTGTTTGAGCAGAGCAAGTCGAGCATCTGTGGACTTTTTCAGATGCCTGTACTGAGCAGGTTTGTTGTGAGCTACCAATCGAAGGGTGGTCCGGTCACGTTTGAATTCTTGGGAGTCACAAGTGATATGGATTGATACGAAGTCCATGGTGCAGTCCATGGTGCTGGGGGTCATGCAAGGTGTGTACAGGGTGCTGGGACATGGGCCTTTGTGAAAGCTCGGACCTGAGCAAACAAATCAAACAAGTCACGACTGCAATGTGAATCACAACATTGTAGAATCTTGGTACTGTGAAGCCAGACTTTTCGGTCAAGACTCAAGACTATGTTCAGGCTGTTGCCGCTTGCCATTTTAGTGTATCGTTGGCTCAGCACAGCAAGGCCGAAACAGATCTTCAAGAGTTTTTGAAAGAAAAGTTGAGAGCAAAGACAAACCAGGAGATAACATGAAATAACATCAAACTTCTCCATGAGATTCAAGGAGTGTGAGTATAAATCCAGCTCGTTGCACACAAGTGAATCGAGAAGGTTCTAGAGTGCAAAGATTGCGCCAGTACACCATCAATGCCCGTAGCCGTAATGCCCATGAGAGGCAACGGACAGCATCTTGCAAAACTTACGCAGAAAGTACAGGCAGGAGCAGACTAGCGATTCTGTTAGATGACACTTTTGATTGTTGCAGAAATGTGTTGAAATCCAAACCTTGGATTGCCTTGCCATAGGTGGATACAACAGACCCCTGTGATTCAGCTCTCCGCATCAGCTAATGTTGAGGAGGGACCTGCTGGATGTTCTGCTTCTCACTGCTTTGACCTCTGGTCACTTTGGTCTGCTTCTTTTCCCCTGGATGCAGGACACACTGATTCTCCCGTAGCTGGCAGAATGCTGTGTGTCTGTCTGCGCTGGTGGATTGATCGGTTGGCCATGCGGAAAGATATGGAAGCATATGCAAAGTGTATTCTCATCAAACTTGCCGTCCTTGTTAGATCACCAATCGACTGGCCAGACTTCGTAGAAATCCAGTTCGCTTTCCACGGACAAAATGGAACCTAGTGACCTAGTGCGTGTGCTGATGTGTGAGCAGATGTCCAAGGTTGGGATGCAGCATGTCACCGGCGATATCGAACAACACTTCCTGGTTAGCTTGCTGGCCCGAAGATGTGGGAAGCTTCAACTCAATCACGCAAGACAAATCATGCGAGACACATTTATTGAAAAACCAGTGTGAAAGAAACAGACTTGACATCTTCAAACTGCATGCGTAGATTTTAACAGGTAGGTCTAGGAGACCGTGGTCTTGGAAGATGGCAGTGAAGTAAACAAGTGGTGACCAGCAAGGAACAGGGAAACTACCGGGTCCACTGTTTTTTGCTCAAAATTCGGGTCTTCATATTGTTATACATGTTATACATATACATCATGATACATCTGTACACATGGGTGTCCGTCCTGTACATCAGTATAAAGCTGTATATTAATATACACTTACAAAGTGTGTTCAGATATATTCAATATATTCACCCTATATACTGAACCTGATAAAACTGAGACTTATACAGCTAGTGCAACTGCTATTCCTTGCTGTTTCCTGCGGCGCTGCTCCATGCCAGCCTGGCTGCGCAATGATGAAGAACGGCGTCAGTTGTTCGCCGCCCTACGCTCCACTCCGCCTCCGGAGCCGGTCAGAGGTCTGTGCTTTTTTTTATATCATCGTGTATGGCGTACAACACCGTATAACCGTATAATAATGCAGAATATAATGAAAATAAGTATTGATAGTATTAATAGTATGAATAGTATAGTATGAATAGTATCAATACATGTTGTATTTAAATTTATGAATGTGTTAGGCATAATTTGGATTGATTTTCACGAAATGTTGCTTTTTCCTATCTTTTCCTTCTATCAAGTAGCCTTGTATCATCTTGCCAAGATCTTGCCAACATCTTGCCAGGGAGCAAGCGAAAGAAGGAAGAGAAACCTCAGCCAACTGTGGACCGAAAGCTCGCTTTGTTGAAGTTGCGGGACGTGGCATGTTCGGGTCTGCGAGAAGCATTGTGGCAAGATGCAGAGGCGCTGAGTCGCTGAGTTCCTGCCAATTCAGGGATCGGCTCGCTTATGTTTGATTGCTGGTCATCTCATGTCATATCATCTGGAAACAGGAAATCAACATGGTGAAAACAAACTGAAGACCGTGTCAAGAGAAGACAGTTTAAGTGAAAGCATAAGGGGACAGGCTTATATAAACTCACGCAAAGTGAAAAGGTGAGTTCTCGAAATCGCTTAGAACGCATGTGGAAATATGTAGAAATATGTAGAAATATGTAGAAATATGTAGAAATATGTAAAATTCCATGTAGCCAAATTTAGAACGCAAAACAAATCAAGTTGTGCATAGTTGTGCCAGGTTCAAGAGATCCTGCTGAAAGGCTTAGAAGATAACCAGCCGGAGCTTGCGCGAATACTTTCGTTGGGGGTGATGGTCCACCTTGCTGCATCCTCCAGAAACTGTCATTCTCTGCTTCACAACGACCAGGCACGGGATATCACGGGATTACTCCAAGTGTCCGTCCATTTCTATTTCCAGTACCCGAGTATCCAAAGCATTTTTGCATTTTGCCAGACTTGAGCGTACATCAGTACGCTAAGATTCAATATCTAGGAGATATTTGCTGAGTATTTGAGGGCATGTAAAGTTCTTTGACATTCTTTCACAGGTGCGGGAAAGTCTTGCCAATCTTCAAACTGATGGTCAGCCCCAAGAAGTGCGGGAGAAAGGACTTCTGGCCTTGGTAGCTCTGGCTGTTCCAGCTTTTCATGATTGTCAACAAGTAAGTGAGGACCTTAGAGATGTACTTGGAAAGGCAGCTCGAAGAAACGCAGAGACTTCTCAGCGTCTTCTTGTCTTCCGGGCCCTTTGGAGTGCAGCGGCAGTCTGTCAAAGCCCCGAGTTGTTCTTTGGAAATCAAGTGATTTGGGCCACAGTCCTTCAAAGTCTTCAAGAGGAAGAAGACGCTGATATCCGCGAAGGTGGACTTGGTGTATTGAGTGCTCTGGCTGGCCAGCAAGCTGTCGCACATTTTCTATGGCAAGATGAAGACGAAAGTCGTGTATGTGAAGACATCTTTCTCAACACCCTTCGGTACCAGCCATCACGCATTCGTGGAAAAGCTTTGACCGTTATAGCAAGTGACTTGACTTTGTCTTGAGTTGGAAGTGCAATGCAGAAACTTGGTCATGAGAGATGACTTCCTGGATTTGAGACTTTGCACTCAATACGCACATTTATCGGACTTTCTACGACCTTTCTACCCATACGGCACTACATGCATAGTCTTCAAATGAACCGACGCATACACACACACACAGGCTGGCAAAATCTTAGATGTCTTGCGAGGTATTGTCAAAAATCCAGAAAAGCGAGCCTCCGTGTGGTCATATGTTTCTCTCGCCAGAAGAAATTTGGACCAGGACAGTTGGGGGAAAGGTACAATCACAGCGTGACACTGCTACGACATTATACTACATCGAAATCTTTCCATCCTGAGAAGTGGAAGATTCTCATGTTTCTTAATGCCGCCTTTCTGCAAGGATGATGTACACTACGCCAGAGAGATGCTCGGAAGCGCTGGCAGCCAACGTGGACGTTTGGGAAGTGATGTTTCTGGTGGCAGACCAAGGGCAGAGAGCGATGCATCTGCTGCATCCAAGCAATCCAAACAGTCAGGAGAAGACCATGTGAAGCGCACACATACCGATCAAGATGATCAAATGGACACACCTGGTACCATGAAAGACAGCATCATTGCTGCTGCCTCCAAATCAGAGCTTCCCAGTGTGCAATGGCCTGCTCTGAGTATCTTGCTTGAACTCGCCTGGGATGAAGAGCTGAAGATGTCTCTCATCAATTGCAACGTTCCGGAGTCATGGCAGCAGGATGCAAGCAATGGGAAAAATGCTGCAGGGAACCATTTGAACCATTTCATTTGCGTGTCTGCGATTTACAGTTTCAACATGTTTCAACATGTTTCAACTATTTTGGGTACTGACATCCTGAGCCATTCTGACTCGGCTTTCTTCACCTTACCCATCAGCCAAGGAGCTTCTTATCGAAGCTTTGCCTGATGAGCGCTTGAGCATGAAAGAACGGAAACTTTGCAAACATGGCCATAGACGTCTTGTTGATTGGAACGAGGCCATGGAAAAGCTTTCTGCTTGCGTTCGAATGTGTTGAGTAGACATGCTTTGGATCTTTCTGAGCTAATCTGACGTTGTCATGACTAGGGCCAGTTCTAGTGACTAGTGCTGAGGCAACTTGTGTCTGGTTAAAATTTTAGCTGTAAACGAGCCGAACCCAAAAAGCCAATAGGCTGGCAGTCTCCGTTGACTCGTTGACGTTTGCATTTTATTCTTGCGAAGAATCAAACTCCTCTCAGGTCGCGGTTCTGTTTTAAATTCATTAATAAATATCAATAGCCTTTACGTGTACCTTTACCATGTTTTGAACAGGACTCATGCGAGTGCAAAGCAGCCTGTTGAAGGTAGCCACGTCAGACGAGTTGCATCAGCATTCCAAGCCTTGCAGAATTGTCAGAACATCGGCAGGCGAGAATCGCAGAAGAGCTTCGTATTGAGCGGGAGAACCAGAGTCGAGAGCTTCGCAACATGCTATTTGAAGAAGAATACCAGGCGCTGCAGCATGTCAGCACTGTCGGCACGTTATACACCAATTTGCTTTCCTGGATACCAGAACAAACGGAACAAGCAATGCGGTCTGTCAGCCTGTCAGCCGGTCAGCGCCACACATTAAGTTGGGTGCATTGCCGCCAGGTCATTTGCAAAGAACTTCCGGAATCTTGGTGGTAAGAAGTGGTACAAGTATGATGCGAGATTATGGATTATTTTTTTTAGTGGACCAATCAATGATATGCCGTCCAAGTGTATGCCTTTATATCATTCAGCCGCTGTTTCGTCCAGTTAGCCTGCCTTGGAAGTGATTGGCACAAGTATACGCATTGGGATATTCACCATTGCTCAACTCAAATTCACTTGGCCTCATTTCATTTCACTTCACTGGGGAAGACCGCATCTAGGAAGAAGCGTGATTGGAATCATGTCACTGCAGGTTGTGACTTGCTACACTGAACTGACCAGGAAATGGGTAGAGCAGACTTTGAAAGCCGCGAGTTCGAGGCATTCTTGTCAAGATCCAAAGACTTTACTATGATAATTTCGGCTTCAATCAACTTTAGTCCATGGAGCTTTGCATTTGGGCAGGACTGGACAAAGAGAGTTGAAGAGCAGAAAGCCATGAAGCTGGAAGATGAACTTTCACTTGAGTTCAACAAACACCTCGCGTTCCTGAGCTATGATGATTTTGGCTTGAGTAACCCACCCTAGATTGTCACTTCACTGATTGCGGAAAGGAATTGTGTTGAGTCAGCACGCAGTGAATCAGCAAAGGTTTCCCGACTTCATAAACACACAGATGCGACATTCACAAAGACTAGTGGGTAATGGAATCCGTTCTCAAGTAGTTTGCTCCTTTGTCATGTGTATAGACATGGCTTGACTGAACATGCTGAATGACAGATTCTGCCAAAGCAATATATTTAGCCTAGCAGGAAATCAGCATGCCACTCCTCCTTGTGCCAAATTTTCCCTCTCTCAGTCCCAGCAACAGACAAGGAGGGTTCAGATTGCTTCCGTAGGTGAATGGTTGATACTGGTTGCGGGGACAAAGTTGAAGTCTCTCTTTGCTTGGACAAGACGCATGCCCTACCCATTGTTAAGGAGTTTACTATCAGCCAAACTGATATTTAGGAAACAGCTTGATCACCTTAGCTCGATTGAGCATACCTTCATGATTCAGGCTCTGTTAGGCTTGTGGATTCATTTGCCCTAATCAGATCCGCAACTGGCTCATCCA